TATTGCTCCAAGAAACGAACAAACAGAAATATTTCACTATATTGCTCCAAGAAACGAACAAACAGAAATTTTTCACTATATTGCTCCAAGAAACGTTTAAATGATACAATCATATTTCTCATAATCCCCCCGCCCCCCAGAAAAAGTTATAAAACTCAGTTTGTAAAATTATGGTTTTACAATGAATAGCAGTTGATATATCCCTACTTTAAAAGTTAGATCATAATAGTTACCTGAACTTCAACCAGACGGCGCTATGACACTATATTTTTGCAGTACTATAAAAATCTTTGGCCATAACTTATGCTGTCAGAATACATCTGTTTTTATGGATTGTTTGACTAGTAACACGTGGCATTACTATAGAGATGCTGTATCTAGGGTTAGTGCATACTTACACCTTGAAGTTTAGAGAAAGTAGGTTAGTCAAACAAATACACCGTGAATAACTTACAGTTCGTGTGTTACTAATTAAAGCACTGATAATATAGAAAGGGAAAGGCTTAGCTATAGACTGCAGTAAAAAAAAAAGACATTTGTACCTCAGAAATAACAAAATAGTGAAAATAATGATGAGGCACAAAACTTCACGTGAATAAATAAACATAACGAGAGATAATAAATGATGCAAGGGTAATGAGATCTAGTCAACATTTACGTCTAAACGGTTATTTCTGCAGACTAATTATACAAATCCGAATATAATTGAAGAAAAACCTAAAGAAAAAAACAAGCTGATGGCAGAAACGTCAACATGATGTAACCAACCCATGTCAATTAAGACGATTTATTCTCAGAAACCCTTAAGATTGGTATAATTAACACAAGTACTACGCAGTATTACATCGAGTACCAGCCCCGAGAATACATTAAAAAGCGTACAATGTTTATGTAAAGAATTACACTTTAGAGTAACCTACTGATATTTAAATGTTTTTACTGACATTTTTTTTTTCCAATTGGTAAATTTTGAGTCACGTATATGTTTGGGATGATTTAATGGAACCTCTACAAACCCACGCGAGAGATTTCCCGAGATGGGATTCGAGTGAAAAGCAGCTCTTACATAACACGTCCACACTTTATTAACATGATATTACATTCATAACCCTCTAAAAGTATAACCCTTCAGTTCATGTAAACATTAGTTACTATTTGTTACAGATTACCACTTACATGTCCATGAAATTACATTTATAACCCTTCAGTTCATGTAAACATTATCTACCATTTGTTACAGATTACCACTTACATGTCCATGAAATTACATTTATAACCCTTCAGTTCATGTAAACATTATCTACCATTAGTTACAGATTACCACTTACATGACCTACATAAACTTTAAAAAACCAATAACATTTTGAACTGTATACAAAATACCCGCGCAATAAGAAAAATTGAGAACGTGTTTTTAAAAGTTTGATATTTGGTTTTTCTTAACTTACGTCAGCATGAATTAAAAAATACCGAATTCAGAGCCTACAAATTTCGTGTATTAAGCCATTCTGTTTTTTAAAATTAATAATATTGTTATAGTTAATTATAGTCATATTTTAAGTTTAATAATAACAATAAAAGAGTATCATCACCTGTTTTGTTGTTGCTTCGTCAGGTAAATTTTCCCCAGCTGGAAGTTCTTGAAGTACACTAAATTTCCGGTCGTATACACATCGATGAAGTTGTTTGTCTAACATTCGGAAGTTCTCATAGTTCCGTCTTATGACCCATGACCGACTGTTGCTTGATACTTTCACATAGAACCACCACTGCGTTGCTTCGTTTTCTTTATCTGGAGAGTTGGCCGATGCTAGCGCCACCTTACTACTGTCGGGCCTTTTATCACAGAGTTCGGCCTGGATTTATCAAAAAGAACAAAGTCTTTGAACAAGGTTGTTCTAAAAGCACAACGGGATCTCTCAGTGAAATTTTGATTTTTAAATACAGTATTTCTGTATATCGAAACATGTACGACACTTTTTTTGTTCTCTATTGGCTTAATCTAACAACTTAGTGCAAATATTACATTTCTTCAAGTAACATGTATCAAAGTGACAAAACGTGGCCAAATATTAGTTGTTACATGGGGATGCTTCTTCAGATAAGTCCCACCGACAAAATATGAAAAACAGCATTAATTATTTCACAACCAACAGTTTTTTTAAACGTACAAACGAATATGATTTCGATAAATTCATTCGTAAGTAACCAGCGACGGTACGCACATATTAGGATACTAAGCTGTTAAAACTCTCCAGCCACAAATACAGGAGATTTGTCGTCTTCAAACTGATAGGTGTTTATGATATACAGTATATTTCAGAGTAAGGTGTTAGATCTGGTTAAACTGACAAAAACCTGTTCAATGTACGAGTGTGACTTACTATAACAATTTAATAAAACATATATCAAAACAAAAATATCACATTTAAATGACTCTACGTGCTTTAACAGGGCCACCCACTCATTAGTAGGAGAACCCTAAACTTGGAACTCAGAATATGTAGGAGAAGAGTAAACTTTGAACTCGGAATCCTTACTAGAACAGTAAACTTCGGACTAGGAGAACAGTAATCTTCGAACTCAAAATCCTTAGGATAATAATACACTCAGAAGATCACTGTCCTCCTGAGGGTGACTGTGTGGCCCAATTGAAACACGTGCAACTCATTTATGTCCGATATATATTTATTTTACGTTTTATTAAATTGTTAGAGTAAATCACAAAATCGTGCATTAAACAGGTTTTCAGATTAACAACTAAGCATCACGAAGGTAGAAGATGACTGATATTCTGTAAGGGTTCAGAGGAATGTACTAGATGACTGTGGTATTCTGTACGGGTTTAGAGGAACGTGTTAAATGACTGTGGTATTCTGTACGGGTTTAGAGGAAGATGCCAGATGACTTATGTAAGAGTTCAGAGGAATGTACTAGATGACTGTGGTATTCTGTACGGGTTCAGAAGAATGTACTAGATGACTGTGGTATTATATACGGGTTCAGAAGAATGTACTAGATGACTGTGGTATTCTGTACGGGTTCAGAAGAATGTACTAGATGACTGTGGTATTATATACGGGTTCAGAAGAAT